GTTGTCATTAATGTCACACTGTAAGATCTCAGTTGTCATTAATGTCACGCTGTAAGATCTCAGTTGTCATTAATGTCACACTGTAAGATCTCAGTTGTTATTAATGTCACGCTGTAAGATCTCAGTTGTCATTAATGTCACACTGTAAGATCTCAGTTGTCATTAATGTCACACTGTAAGATCTCAGTTGTCATTAATGTCACACTGTAAGATCTCAGTTGTCATTAATGTCACACTGTAAGATCTCAGTTGTCATTAATGTCACACTGTAAGATCTCAGTTGTCATTAATGTCACGCTGTAAGATCTCAGTTGTCATTAATGTCACGCTGTAAGATCTCAGTTGTCATTAATGTCACACTGTAAGATCTCAGTTGTCATTAATGTCACACTGTAAGATCTCAGTTGTCATTAATGTCACACTGTAAGATCTCAGTTGTCATTAATGTCACGCTGTAAGATCTCAGTTGTCATTAATGTCACGCTGTAAGATCTCAGTTGTTATTAATGTCACGCTGTAAGATCTCAGTTGTTATTAATGTCACACTGTAAGATCTCAGTTGTCATTAATGTCACACTGTAAGATCTCAGTTGTCATTAATGTCACACTGTAAGATCTCAGTTGTTATTAATGTCACACTGTAAGATCTCAGTTGTCATTAATGTCACGCTGTAAGATCTCAGTTGTCATTAATGTCACGCTGTAAGATCTCAGTTGTCATTAATGTCACACTGTAAGATCTCAGTTGTCATTAATGTCACGCTGTAAGATCTCAGTTGTCATTAATGTCACACTGTAAGATCTCAGTTGTTATTAATGTCACGCTGTAAGATCTCAGTTGTCATTAATGTCACGCTGTAAGATCTCAGTTGTCATTAATGTCACGCTGTAAGATCTCAGTTGTTATTAATGTCACGCTGTAAGATCTCAGTTGTCATTAATGTCACGCTGTAAGATCTCAGTTGTTATTAATGTCACACTGTAAGATCTCAGTTGTCATTAATGTCACACTGTAAGATCTCAGTTGTCATTAATGTCACGCTGTAAGATCTCAGTTGTTATTAATGTCACGCTGTAAGATCTCAGTTGTCATTAATGTCACGCTGTAAGATCTCAGTTGTCATTAATGTCACGCTGTAAGATCTGTTGTTATTAATGTCACGCTGTAAGATCTCAGTTGTCATTAATGTCACACTGTAAGATCTCAGTTGTCATTAATGTCACACTGTAAGATCTCAGTTGTCATTAATGTCACACTGTTAGATCTCAGTTGTTATTAATGTCACACTGTAAGATCTCAGTTGTTATTAATGTCACACTGTAAGATCTCAGTTGTTATTAATGTCACGCTGTAAGATCTCAGTTGTTATTAATGTCACGCTGTAAGATCTCAGTTGTCATTAATGTCACGCTGTAAGATCTCAGTTGTCATTAATGTCACGCTGTAAGATCTCAGTTGTCATTAATGTCACGCTGTAAGATCTCAGTTGTCATTAATGTCACACTGTAAGATCTCAGTTGTCATTAATGTCACACTGTAAGATCTCAGTTGTCATTAATGTCACACTGTAAGATCTCAGTTGTTATTAATGTCACACTGTAAGATCTCAGTTGTCATTAATGTCACGCTGTAAGATCTCAGTTGTCATTAATGTCACGCTGTAAGATCTCAGTTGTCACTAATGTCACGCTGTAAGATCTCAGTTGTCATTAATGTCACGCTGTAAGATCTCAGTTGTTATTAATGTCACACTGTAAGATCTCAGTTGTTATTATTGTCACTGTAAGATCTCAGTTGTTATTAATGTCACTGTAAGATCTCAGTTGTTATTAATGTCACACTGTAAGATCTCAGTTGTTATTAAGGTCACTGTAAGATCTCAGTTGTCATTAATGTCACGCTGTAAGATCTCAGTTGTTATTAATGTCACGCTGTAAGATCTCAGTTGTCATTAATGTCACGCTGTAAGATCTCAGTTGTCATTAATGTCACGCTGTAAGATCTCAGTTGTCATTAATGTCACACTGTAAGATCTCAGTTGTCATTAATGTCACACTGTAAGATCTCAGTTGTTATTAATGTCACGCTGTAAGATCTCAGTTGTCACTAATGTCACGCTGTAAGATCTCAGTTGTCATTAATGTCACGCTGTAAGATCTCAGTTGTTATTAATGTCACACTGTAAGATCTCAGTTGTTATTATTGTCACTGTAAGATCTCAGTTGTTATTAATGTCACTGTAAGATCTCAGTTGTTATTAATGTCACACTGTAAGATCTCAGTTGTTATTAAGGTCACTGTAAGATCTCAGTTGTCATTAATGTCACGCTGTAAGATCTCAGTTGTTATTAATGTCACACAGTGACAATAATAACAACTGAGATCTTACAGTGTGACATTAATAACAACTGAGATCTTACAGCGTGACATTAATGACAACTGAGATCTTACAGTGACCTTAATAACAACTGAGATCTTACAGTGACATTAATAACAACTGAGATCTTACAGTGACATTAATAACAACTGAGATCTTACAGTGACAATAATAACAACTGAGATCTTACAGTAAGATCTCAGTTGTTATTAATGTCACTGTAAGATCTCAGTTGTTATTAATGTCACACTGTAAGATCTCAGTTGTTATTAAGGTCACTGTAAGATCTCAGTTGTCATTAATGTCACGCTGTAAGATCTCAGTTGTTGTTAATGTCACACTGTAAGATCTCAGTTGTTATTATTGTCACTGTAAGATCTCAGTTGTTATTAATGTCACTGTAAGATCTCAGTTGTTATTAATGTCACACTGTAAGATCTCAGTTGTTATTAAGGTCACTGTAAGATCTCAGTTGTTATTAATGTCACGCTGTAAGATCTCAGTTGTTATTAATGTCACACTGTAAGATCTCAGTTGTTATTAATGTCACACTGTAAGATCTCAGTTGTTATTATTGTCACTGTAAGATCTCAGTTGTTATTAATGTCACTGTAAGATCTCAGTTGTTATTAATGTCACACTGTAAGATCTCAGTTGTTATTAAGGTCACTGTAAGATCTCAGTTGTTATTAATGTCACTGTAAGATCTCAGTTGTTATTAATGTCACACTGTAAGATCTCAGTTGTTATTAAGGTCACTATAAGATCTCAGTTGTCATTAATGTCACGCTGTAAGATCTCAGTTGTTATTAATGTCACACTGTAAGATCTCAGTTGTTATTATTGTCACTGTAAGATCTCAGTTGTTATTAATGTCACTGTAAGATCTCAGTTGTTATTAATGTCACGCTGTAAGATCTCAGTTGTTATTATTGTCACTGTAAGATCTCAGTTGTTATTAATGTCACTGTAAGATCTCAGTTGTCATTAATGTCACGCTGTAAGATCTCAGTTGTTATTAATGTCACACTGTAAGATCTCAGTTGTTATTAATGTCACTGTAAGATCTCAGTTGTCATTAATGTCACACTGTAAGATCTCAGTTGTTATTAATGTCACACTGTAAGATCTCAGTTGTTATTATTGTCACTGTAAGATCTCAGTTGTCATTAATGTCACGCTGTAAGATCTCAGTTGTTATTAATGTCACACTGTAAGATCTCAGTTGTTATTAATGTCACTGTAAGATCTCAGTTGTTATTAATGTCACACTGTAAGATCTCAGTTGTTATTAAGGTCACTGTAAGATCTCAGTTGTTATTAATGTCACTGTAAGATCTCAGTTGTTATTAATGTCACACTGTAAGATCTCAGTTGTTATTAAGGTCACTATAAGATCTCAGTTGTCATTAATGTCACGCTGTAAGATCTCAGTTGTTATTAATGTCACACTGTAAGATCTCAGTTGTTATTAATGTCACTGTAAGATCTCAGTTGTTATTAATGTCACACTGTAAGATCTCAGTTGTTATTATTGTCACTGTAAGATCTCAGTTGTTATTAATGTCACTGTAAGATCTCAGTTGTTATTAATGTCACACTGTAAGATCTCAGTTGTTATTATTGTCACTGTAAGATCTCAGTTGTTATTATTGTCACTGTAAGATCTCAGTTGTTATTATTGTCACTGTAAGATCTCAGTTGTCATTAATGTCACGCTGTAAGATCTCAGTTGTTATTAATGTCACACTGTAAGATCTCAGTTGTTATTATTGTCACTGTAAGATCTCAGTTGTCATTAATGTCACGCTGTAAGATCTCAGTTGTTATTAATGTCACACTGTAAGATCTCAGTTGTTATTAAGGTCACTGTAAGATCTCAGTTGTCATTAATGTCACACTGTACGGCAGTCAAGAAGACACGCTAAAAACGCACGAAAACTTGTCCCGAGTTTTACATCATCAATCAATGACACATTCAGTGACTCTGAGCTGCATTACCGGCGGGATTGAAATGGTGGCTACAAAGAAATCTCTAACGTTAATTTTGGTCATGGCTTTTCTCGAAAAACAAAGACAATTTGATGGTTGTTGTGGGAGAAGTCACACTGCAGGACTGAGAGTCAAATCTTCTGACACTGCCAGAATTTCATCTGAGGTTTTATCGCAACGGTCATTAATCGGCTGTCGGTGAACATGTCAAACTAACGATCTAAGACTTCAGGTTTTAGCCTAGGATCAGAGGAATCTTTCAAATCATTTAGCAAAATTTGTCTCAGACGGCCAAAATCGCACCGTGTGAACCCAGCTTAATAAGAACAAAACGCTAATAAACGTAGGAAGACAACACTTAAGTTTTGTAACTTAATTCAATACTGATAATATACGTGACAAAAGCTTCAGTAATTACTGTGATATGAAAATTTGATAGTCACATGTCTAACTACTACCAAACATAGTCAATGTCTGACTGGTGTCTGAGGAGAGCCCCGACAGGGTTGTAAAGCGCTTTGGGTGTACAGTAGTTTATGACAGCGCTATATAAAATGCCTCATTCATTCAATGTCTGTTTTAATCATTCATCCATTCAAATTCTAACAATTTCCAGACATAAGCACCCACCTCGCCCCAGATGCCAGCCGTGTCGTCGAGATTGTGTTTCTGGTAGGACAGCTGTCGGATGCAGTTATTAACGGCAACACTACTCCTGCCAGGAGCCATTTCCTCCTCTGATATCTCCACCCAGCCCAGAGATCGCACCGCAAAACACTGCAAACACACACACACAAGCATGAAGAACACCAACAGCTAGATGATGTGTATGTGGTCACTCATCAGTGTGCTTACCTTCGCCCCCTCGGCACTGCTGACATAAGACAGTTCCTCTTCTTCCTCAGACTGAGAAAAACTGCACACAACAAGATGATGACACACAGAGACGGGTCAATGCTCCAGTAGCTCAAACACTAGAGCCCAATCCTGCTGAGTCCAGGACCAGCCCCGCTCTGCAAACGTCTCTGTGTTATCAAGTGGTCCTGAAGACATTAATCTGCTGGTTCAGCTGCGTTTGATCAGGGCTGAAGCTGGACTTGGGCTGACAGGGCTGAAGCTGGGCAGCCCTTCAGTAGTCTTAATGTGAGTGGCTTTAGATAAGCTAAGAAATGCATAAAAGCACTGCCATGTAGAAGTTATTGTGGCCTGATACTGTGTGATGCTCAGCGTGATGTTTGATGGATCTGACCTGAGATTGATGGAGGCGTAGCGTAGAGTCGCTCCCTCAAACTCCTTCAGACTTTCATCAGAAGCTATATCCTCCTTCTGAGCGATAAAAACAGCATTATATGGACTTAAAAAAAAACAGAATAAGGTGTTTGTACGTCTGTGACACCATCATGAACCTACCTGCCAGAGTTCTTCAACACTGAACGTGTTTGGTTGTGAAACAGCGCTCCATGTAATCTAATTACAAATGTGTTCATGTTAAAAGACATAAGCATTCACATGGGCTACAACAGTGCTTATATACTGATGTGATGGTAGTAAGTGTGTGCACCTGTGGCTGGTCAGCGGGCGAGAGCGCGGGCGAGGCGCTGGCGGGACGCTCCTCCAGGGGCCCGGGCGGCTCCCACTGTGTGGTGCCTGTGGGAATGTGCCAGTAGTAGGTGCCCGAGGTGTCCTGCACTCGCATCCAGCCAGCGGGCAGGTCCGTGTCCGTCTCAAACGCACTGCCGTCCCAATAGGACTCTACAACAACAACGAAACGTTTCTTTGGGCCTGTTTACACCTGGTATTAACATTTCGAGTGATCCGATCAAAGGTTGTCAGGTGAGGCTGTTTACACCTGGCAGTAATATGCCTCGCAAATATGGATTTCAATAGTTCTCAATAGCTTACTCGCCAAAAACAGTATGGCCCTTATGGACTGAACAGCTAATTAGAAGTAGTTTTCCATATAGAGGCACAGCTCTGTCACACAACATGAGCCTGCTGTAGGAGATATGATGTTTTGAGCAGAATGTTATTTTAGTCCATTGTTAACCTATAATCCGTCTCACTGACATCAGACATACAGAAGATGAAATCTTGACTATTTATTTGTTCGCCATGATATTATTGGTTACTCTTAACTAAAAGAGGTAAAAGAGGAAAACATTGAATGAATCTTAATTGATAACAACAGTTCCTCTAACAAACAGTTGAGAGCTAGATATTCTTTATCGCCATCATTAAAATCACGGTAAGTCACGGGCAGCATAGCATAGCAACAACAAATCTGGATCAAGGTATCGATCTAATCCAAGATTATTATCTGACAGACCAAACGCTTGATTCCCAAAAATCTGTTTGGTGTGTTGTTGAGGTTTAGTGAACAGCACAGTTTAATCTGACTACACTTTATTTTTTCTTTACTTTTAGTTAAAGCTGCAGTCGGCAAGATTGTTTTGATCATATTCACTAAAACCGACACTATGCTCCGACAGAACAACATAAATCAGCCGGTTTTAGAAAAACCCTGCGCTTCTGCCTCCCACCTGGAGCCGGTTATTTGTTTTGCAAAAATCCACCGCTCCCTGTTCTTCTGGTCCAGTCAGCGCAGGGCTGTGTGAGATCTCAGTCAATCACAGTTCGTGCACACCACAGATCCCCCTCGCGCACGTTACACATCACAAGCACACGCCTGAAGTGCGCAGGTTTGTTGGATTGTACGAAGCTTCCAATTCCTCGGTTAACAACCAGAGCTAGGAGGTCCAAAACAACCAAGGAAAAGAAACACCTGTAGAAATGCAGGTGAGAGAGCGATGCTGAAGAGGCGGGCGCGTCGACTGGCGAGGTGCTCGTGGGTAGTGGGGGAGGAGCATGAGAGTTGTAAACAGTCAAAATTTTGGCTAAGTCCCCTCAATCTGCCAGACTTGCTGACTGCAGCTTTAAAATACAACACAAAATTTGATGTATATTTTGCATCATCCTTTAGCACAACCAGAGGAATTAACGGTTGGCTCGATTTGAATGTGCGGAATACACAAATGCAAACAGTAGTTTGAAGCTTTCCAAATATGTCCTTTTAAAGCCCCTCATTACTGGCAAATATTTTAAACCCAGTGTTATCGGGATATGCCAGGACAGATAAGCGTACACACTACAAATGCTACATTTTTGGAAGTACCTGTGTGTGTGGTCTGAGTGGATCAGCTGAGCTAGGGTGTAGGGCCGGGCTATTCAATTGGCGGCCCCTGAGGCCCTTTAGGCGTAATTTGCGGGTGGTACGGTGGGACATGTTCCCACTAGGGCTGCAACAACGAATCGATTAAATCTATTAAAATCGATTATTAAAAAAGTTGGCAACGAATTTCATAATCGATTCGTTGCATCGCGCGACTATCAATAAGTCGCGGAGATGTTGTATTAAAAAAAAAGTTGAGTTGAGCGCGGAGCAGAGCTATGAGGCGCCGGACTGGACACTGTGCGCGAGAGAGACCCAATGTGTCAGCTCGCAAGCGACAGTGTGCAAGAGAGAACGGGTGTGTCAGCGCGCGAGCGACAGTGTACGAAAGATAATGTGTTTGCGCGCGAGAGAGACCGAGTGTGCCAGCGCCCTATGGTCAGCGCGTGAGCGACAGTGCACAAAAGAGACCGAGTGTGTTTGCGCGCGAGAGAGACCGAGTGTGTCAGCGCGCGAGCGACAGTGCACGAGAGAGACCGAGTGTGTCCGAGCATTAGTAAATTGGTAATTATTATATAAGAGGCATGGTAGTTCGATAAATGGACAACAATATAAAAAAACAACAATTAAATTCTTACCACTGAATTAGCTGACTGTTATTTAAATCAGATAGACAGAAGATGAAAACACTTTTTTTGTCTGTCCCAAGTACCACTACAAGGGAAATATTTTTTCCAAAATTTGCAGCACTGTATTTTTCATTCTTACCTCTAAATGACTCAGAGAAACTTCACTATATCCTCGGAAAGGATGAGGTTCAAAATTATGCCTACCTTACACACCATATGAGGTGGTCAATCCATTGTATTTGTTTTTTATATTATTTTATATTGTAATTATATTTCATATACATTGTATTTATAATTAATATTAGGATAGACTACAGATATTATCTTCTGTTATAATTATTATTATTGCTATTATTATTACCTATTATCCGACTGCACGAAACTTGTCTTTTGTGTGCATGTGCTTGTCAAATATCAAATTTTTTGTTAAAGATAATAACATATGACCAAAACAAAAAAAAACACAAGTTTGTGAGTGTCTGCATCTGTGAGTGTGAGTCGTGAGAGTTTGTGAGCATGTGCATCTGTGAGTGTAGTGTAGAGAACAAGTTCTGACGCTCAAACAAATCCTGTTAAGGTTTCTGATTTGTATTTTTCTTTTATTGTTCTGACAGCTCAGGTCACTTTAAGCAAAAATATACATCTTTTTGAGCACTTCATTTTAAAAATGCCTATGTAGAGCATACATGTGTATGTTTTTTGTGGCAGTCCATTTTTTTTTTTTTTATTATTACTTTAACAGCTCAGGGATGTTCAAGGAGCAACCCGTTTGTGCACTTTCTGATTTTTTTTTTAAGATTTTTTGCACTGTGAATTTGCACTGTCAGTTCTGTTTTTGAATAAAGTGTTGGAAATTAATGCTTTTTTGTTTTCATTTTTTTTAATCCGATTCATCGATTAATCGAAAAAATAATCGACAGATAAATCGATTATTAAAATAATCGTTAGTTGCAGCCCTAGTTCCCACCACTTTTTGCTAAGGTCGATATTGTCCCCATCACTTTGAAGCATCTCGCGGCACGAATGTACCAATACAAATAAATAAAACATCTCCAGGTAACTAGCAGAGCATTCATTTAGTTCGTTTGTTAAATAAGAGGCGATCTGGCGCTTAAATGTGTTTGATTTTTTTAAATCAAGTGATGAAGTGCTCGTTGCCGCTACGATCAGTGGCGCGGATACTGTGTTCTCTTGTGGCTCGCGCAGTCTTATGCCCGCTGTGGAGACACTATTCGTTCCGGTGAAATTACAAAACAAAATGCACACAAACGTGTCCCTGCCTGATATTCAACCACTGATAAACATTATCGGTTTTGATGAGGAAAAAAAAAACCTATTCGAGTGCGGATTAGAGCCCAGAACCTCTGACACGCTTGGCAAAAGTTCTGCCACTGGACCATTAGAATACACGCTTAAAATAGTCAGATCTATGTATTTATTCTCGCACTAACAACATATATTAGACCTCATTAAACGACAAAATAAACCCAATGTACTATTTAAATCGATTGTTGGACATCGTAATGTTATTGTACATACATCTGATTTAAAACAAAAGTGAGTACAGTAGTAGCCCATGTGTGGATTTATGGGGCAGTCTATTTTTTTTTTTTTTTGAAGGAAAAAAGTGTGAGTTGTATTCAGTTACCATTTAGCTGCATTTCTGTTTTCAGCCCGTGGAGAAGGGGGGCAGTTTGATGTTTCTGAGTATTATTTCTTTACTTTTAACACTGAAATGTATCTCCTCATTGTCAATTGAGGATAACGAGCTGTAAAGTTGTGTTGTACAGTTATGTGCAATTAAGTGGATGTTTTCTGTTGGTCAATTGCATTTCTCTAATTGTCTGTGTCTCTGATTTTTCAACATTGTATTGCCTTGTGCCTATGTTGTTCTGCATTTACAAAATAGAATATATTGATTCCTTCAGTATGTTGTTGTAATTTCTTTATTTGTTACCATAATTACTCATATTCTCCGGCCCCTTATTTTGCCTCAGTTTCATGAACTGGCCCCAATTCCAAAAGAATTGAACAGCCCTGGTGTAGTGTGTGTGTCTGTGAGCGCCTGCTGGAGTGTGTGCTGTACCTGGCTCTCCGTCGGGGGTGCTGCTCGCAGTGCTGCCCTGGGACAGAGACATGCAGCTGGAGTCCTCGTCACTGGTCACGCCGGTCCTGCCCGACAGCAGAGCGTTCCTGCCGCCCTCGCCAGCTCTCCTCTGCACCTCAGCGTCTGTGTTCGCGCACACACACGGATTCAAGCTCTCCTCTTCCTCTCTTTCCGCTTCCTTGTCTCTTGTCTTCTGCTGGTTTTCCTGATTGTTCTCCATCATGGCGGCAGAAGAGTAGATGAGAAGAGGTTCATCGGTTGCCCAGTCCTGCAGGTCAGAGCACAGCGCTTTCAGGGTCTTGTTCTTCTCTTCATTTCGCCGCTGTGAGTTCTGGTTTGGGTTTCTGTCTGTGGATTCGTTCTTGTTTTCCACCAGGTTGAGATTCTGGTCTTGCTGCTGCTGCTCTGCTAACTTGCATATTTGGTTCTGATCTTCCTTCATCCACTTGGTGTTGCTCTCAGAGACTGGAAGACTGTGTTCATTTTCCTGATTTCTGCTCCATTCATCTTCCTGGTGCTGGAGGGACGCATCATCGTTCTCTAGTCCTCCCATAATGCCTTTGAGGAGCTGGATGGAGGTTGTGCTGGCGTAGTTGTGTCGACTCTTTGGAGAGAAAGAGGATGAACCAGGAGTATCTTTCAGGCCCAGCTTTCTTTCATAGGATAAGCAGAGGTCAAGGGTCAGTGAAGGTGGGATGTAGGTGTTTTCATTGAGCAGGTCTGAGGGGCTCTTCACAGACATGACACAGAGCTGGAACAACACACACAAACACTCACTGTAACGCTATCAACACATGAACATTTCACACATAAACACTGTGAAAAACATGCTAAATCCTGGACACTACAATTGGAGTTAATCATTTTACATTTCAACATTACTATTCACAGCTGACTGATCCTATCGCCATCTGTCTCGACACTGACAGAAAACCTTTCTGCTGGATTGGGTGTCGATCAGATGGAATCAGTGATGCGCGGGTTGATCCAAAAGGAGCGGGTGCCTGCAGTCACCCGCGGTTACGAGTCATCCAAAAATAGTTTTAATGATATTCGGGTCGCGGTCGGTCGGGTCGTTTGAAATAAAGATGTCAATTAAACCTTTGTAATTTATATAGTAGCTACTAGACACAATTTTCTATGAAATACATAGGCCTACACTTTATTGGGCGGAGAGAGGAAAGATATGTAGCTGTAACGATATGCGATATGAAACCGAAATCACGACACTCAGATCCACGAACCTAAAGAATCGTGACACACCCCTTCCAACTCCAAGAGTTATCCTTCCCGTCCAGATCCAATGCTACCACATCTTTAAATTATATTAGTATTATTTGAATTTTGAAGTTAACATTATAAAATACGTAGACCAACACAACAAAACTAGTTGAGGATAGATTATTTAAAATTGGGGAATTCCAGCGTTATGGACGTGACATTTGCAGTCAAATCTTGAAATAGGCCTATAAATTCTCAGAAAATGCATTTAATTGGCTACCGATATATTGAAACGTCTGTTTATCCATACCCCCTTAACCCTCTGGGGACCAAGGGGTTTTTAGGGCCCTTGGGATGTTTTGACATGCACTGACATTTGTGCTTTTTTCAGTTATTTATAAACATGTTAATGGCAAAGGTGTAAATTCACTCTATATAGCACAAACGGGGCTACCATAATCTGTGAGCAACATGTATGTACATGTTTGTATTTTTGAGAGATTATTTATGCATGGTTATTGAAAAACTTAAAAAATAAAAGTTTCTGAAATAAGGCCACAAAACGCATATTGATTTTTTCTTCACAAGACTTTTGAAAATTGTATCACATAGTCTAGAATATTTGCTCCAAAACTATGTGAGAATCATCCTGACTACTCATTCAGATAAGTCAATAAAGTCTTTTAGAATGTGTATGATGTGTTTTGTTTGAGAAAGCTTTATGCAGGAGGCGTGATCTCTCATTAATATGTGTGGCATTCCACACCTGAGAAAGACAAAGACCCTCCCATAATGGCCCTATTAGGTGCTATCAGGCCCTATCATTATCAGGAGCCTTGCACAAAGAATGAGGAGATTTAAAAAAGAATGCCTTTTAGATTGTTTGGATTTATTTACAACACACACACTGCTTAGAATAAGTGAACACACCCATGCTAAAGTTGACTAAAAAGAGGAATAAAAAATCTTAATGCCTTAATTAAAAAAATGAGGAAAACTCCAACCTTTAGGGACATGATTAATGTCCCTGAATTCTTTGTGAATGAATAATGTATCGCAAATAATTAAATGTTCTTCTTTAAAATACAGGGTGCATACGTCTGGACACTTCCATCACACACCCTTCACCATATAGACATGGTTTTATTTCAGTTCAAAGTTCAAAGTTAGAGTTGGAAACATCTTGAAAAGAAAATTGTCTTTTTCAATAAATGTCTTAGTTTGATCATACATATTTCAAAGTTGAGGATTCATTATTTTGATATAGCTTGCATTGGAACAAACATCTTAGTTGATTAGTTTATTGACAAAACTTACTATATATTTAACATATGAGCAGAAACTCCTAACAAAAGCTTATTTGATGTATTTATTTTGAAGCTTATTTGAAGCTTATTTGATGCTTATTTGATTTGAAAAACTTTATCCAAAACCAGTCAACGAAATGTTCTTTTATTTAGTCTGTAACAGTGCGTATCTGTGCGTTCATTCATTCATTCACACACACACACACACACACACACACACACACACACACACACACACACACACACAGAAACATGATTCACATTTAAACAGTATGCTATTTTTCCGTTTACAGACACTAATGTTATTCTATATCGCGATTAGAACAAAGCACAAGCATAAAACACTTACACTTCTCAGCTGAATCTGTTGCTCCTCCTCGAAGTGAAAATAAACCAGCACTTCTGTGGTAAATGTCCCAGGATTATTCCTCAAAGCCGCGCAAGACGAATCTTAATCTGACTTAAAAATATAGTGTGTTTACAGAGTTTACAGCATTTGCCTGGGGGCGTTTATCTATTTTGCATATGGCCTCAACACATTATCTTATGAACAAATTAACGATAATAAGCTGAGACAGGAGAAACTGTACTTCTCTTTAGTTTCATACAGATTACATTGCAGGAGAATATTTGTTTTAAATGTGAAATGTTTTATTTAAAAGTAGAAATTTAAAGCGTTCTTTAGACGTATGTTTCATGTTTGTGTGATAAGTATTAGCTGAGTTTCAGTTCATTTTCCAGACATGTTTTAGAAAGATTTTTGCGGAGACAGAGTGAGCTGAAAGCACTCTTTATTTTATTTTATTTATTTAAAAAAAAAAAAAAGGTTTTGATGTTAATGTGAGTGTACACAAAAAAAGAAGACCCTCTATAGTTTATAATCATGTATTGATTTTATTTATATGACGATAAATAACGGAGTATTTTAAGTCTATGTTGCTGCTATGTGAAAAAAAAACAGCAAAACGCGCCGGCGCGTTTGCCGTCCCCAGAGGGTTAAAGGAGTCCAGACATTAGAAACATATCAGTCTACACATGCGTTTTATATTTACGTGAGCGAACACACTCTGGTGTAAACAATCCCCACGTGTAGAAGCACTGTGTGCATGCGCGCAGTGCGCACTGAGGTCTAATGTAAACAATCCTCAAATGGAGAAGAAGCATGGCGGAAGGGGGAACGCTGCCTACGATTTATCCACCTTCTAAAAGGGTTAAGTCAGAGGTTTGGAAATATTTTGGTTCCAAAAAAATGCAGAGGGATTGCTGATCGAAGACGGTTTCCCCGTGTAAGACATGTGGACGGAACGTGGCTGCGAAACACGGGAACACGTCTAACATGTTCGCTCATCTTCGCGACAACCATCCAGTGCAATTCAGGGAGATTAAGGTAAGACACTTTATTTCTCATGTTGAATACCACATAAAAACAACTATTTGAAAAGACAGGATGGCAAAATTACGTTAACTTGTTTCTATTTGCTGCATGTAGCTTGCTTCCACGTAGTTTAAGAGTTAGCCTGAACTCCACTAGCTACGCTAAAGTTTGCGTCTTGTATTAACAACAAAAATACAATAATCAGCTAAAGTAAGTTGTGTAATTAATAATGGAAGTTTGGCAGAATAATTAATTTGAAATTAAAGTTAAAAAAGGAACGCAACACAATCATACATTTCCACACAGTGCAACTAAACTTTTTGTTTATAAATGTTTAGCTAGCTATATTAGCTTACCTAGTGGCTTTGTTATCTAGAAAAATAACTTTAATTACAGTGCTACTGTCGTACTAACAAGTCGTTAGTAAGTAATTTGTCAGTATGACCCTTTAAATATCAAGATTTTATGTGTTATTTGGCTATGTAATTATGGTGTTGATTACACACTATTGTACTGCAAGAGAGAGTATAGTAAAGTAAAGTGGAAAAAAGCTCATCATCATGTGTTTATAATAGGGATGCACGATGATATCGGGACAACATCGGTATCGGCCGATAAAAGCTTAAAATGACCATCATCGGCAGATATGAATATTACTGCCGATGAGCCTTGCCGATAGGGTGGCGTGTTTCCTATGTGCACGTGACGACGGTGAACAAAGCATGAGCGCCAGCAACTTCAACTTTTTAAGGTTTTTGATCGTGGACGATTAAAATGTCTCCACGATCTGCTTTTGAAGAAAAATCATAGAATCATGCATTCTATCATTTCAATTCTGGCGCCTGTACAACATACTGTACAATGCGACGTACATTCACATCACATCACATGTAAACGCAGAGGTAGAGTTACACTCACTGGACACTGCAATTCACAAAAGTTAATTATTTGCATGTGCGTCAAAGTCTTGCTAGGTAAACATGTCATTCACCTGCTGATGCGCTGTTCTAACATCCGCTTTTCTGAGCGCGTTACACCCGACGCTCACAGGAACTAAAGCTTGTCACAGCGCCTGCATGCTGGACTAAGTTATCTTTCGAGTCTTATTGCGCTAATACTGTCAAATACACACAAGGTTTACATAAACAAAGTTGGTTATGTCTAAAGTGAAAGCAAACAGAGAAAATCTGCTTGTCAAATGCGTGTATATTAGACTCGTCGCGTGCAGCTCTTAAAGAGACAGAATCTATAATATGCTGCCGCTTCTTGTCCTTAAAGAGATACTGCACCCAGAAATAAAAATTCTGTCATTATTTACTCACTCTAATGTTGTTCCAAACCTGTATTCATTTCTTTCTTGTGCTTAAATATACTATGAAAGTCACTGGAGTAAAGCAATTGTTTGGTTAGCCACATTCTTCCGAATAACTTATTTTCAACAGAAGAAAGAAATTTGGGGTTTAAAACAACTTGAGAGAGTAAATGATGACAATTTAAATTTTTGGGAGAACTATCCCAAGCAAACAAGGAGAACTAAAACGAGGATCAATATCAGCGTGGCGTTTTTGAGGCCTGTGTGAGTAATCCAGCACTTGCGGGTAGTTCAGGAGAATTAAACGTCCTTATTCCTTTATATCCGCGGGACTCGCGTGTGATATCTGTCTCTTTAGCAATCGCGACCTGCTTCATACCACTGTAATGTTAAAAAACATGAATGTTTGCACTCATCCATAAACACTATTATATCCATCAGCTTGACAGCAAGTCCCATCATTCAGCTCATCACTGCGTCATCAACCTACGCCTTTGTTATTGTTGGAAACTGCGCCCTCTTGTGGTGAAAAAAAA